CGTGGAGGCGGCGGACTAGCCGAGGGCGCAGGCCGAGCCGGGCTCCGGGGCAGCCAAGCCACCCTCCCCGGAGGCCGCTGGACAGTTACCCGCGCAGCACTCACCACCAAGCCCTCTCCGCGCCCCGCCGCCAGCGCCGCGCACTGCGCAAGCGCCGGGCCTCCCACCACAGAGCCCCGGCGGGCGGACCGCGGCTAGAGCGACCGCGGCCACCTGGCTCCCGGGGCTGGGAACTTTCTGGCGCTGCGCCCTCGAGCCCCTTGAGCCCGGGGGGTGGGAACTGTGGTCCTCCCCTGCGGCCGGTGAAGTTAACGCGCTGTGCTGGGTAATTACACTGCTTAGGGCACTTTGAGCTGCTCAGGGGCGGAGACGTGTCCTCTCAAGAGCTCCCGTAAACTAAATCCAGGCGTGCAAAGGAGAACTCAGCAGTATTACCCAGCCAGAAGCTGAAGGAGCGTCAGATCCTTTGGGAATGAAGCAGAGCCGTGGCTTGAACTCCTTAATTCTGCTAACCTTCCAGCCAAGCTACAGCCTTCAGGAAGCTTTTTAGATTCCACCCAGAAGGCAGGCAAGGAAGAAAACTTCCTATTACTTGGCTTTTAATACTCCTGCTTTTCCTAGTTCTTTGCAGCTTCTCTAGGTGTGATCTTAGACCATAAAAAATAATAGTCCTGCTGGGCACTGGCGCTGCACGGCTTTAATCCCAGCACTCCAGAGGCAGAAGCAGGAGGATCTCTGAGTTTGAGGCCAGCCTGGTCTACAGAATGAGTTCCAGGACAGCCAGGGCTACAGACAAACCCTGTCTCAAAAACAAAAACAAACCAACAAAAAGCAATAGTCCCTCTTAGGTAAGTCCTCTCCTCCCAGGGAGAGAGGGGCCACAGCCTGAAACAGAGGGTACAGTACAGTACAAACCGTACAGTACTCTCAGAAGGAAACATTTTTTAAGGGGAAGGGATATACCGTGTGTGGTAGTTAATTTTTGTCAACTTGACACAAACTGAGGCCATCTAGGAAGAGGGTATCTAAATTGAAGAACTACCTCCATCACACTGGACATGTCCATGGGGGCATTTTCTTGACTAATGACTGATACATGAGGGTCCAGCCCAAAGTGAGCGGTGCCATCCCCGGACAGGTGGACCTGGATGGAATAAGAAAGCAGGCTGAGCAAGCCATTGGAAGCAAGCCTGTAAGCGTCCTCCATGGTCTCTGCTTCGGTTCTTGGCTTGCGTCATCCGTTGTGTTCCATCCATACAATGGACCTTTACCTGTAAGTCATATAAGCCCTTCCTCCCCAAGTTGTCTTAAGTCACAGTGTTTATTTACCAAAGCAACTCTGTCCCAAACACTCTCAGAACCTGGAAAAAATGCCCTAAGACTATGCTGAACCTCAACAGCAGAGTTCCTCTAGACTGCTGGGAAGGAACTTTTCAACAATGCCTATTCAGCAAATGGCAAACTTAGGCGGAGCCAGAGTCGGCCTGGTTTCAAGCAGTGTCCAGCATCAGGAAGGACCTGCCAGTATCTGCCACTTGCTTCATGAGGATAGACCCAACTCTGTGATAAGAACAGCATTCACATGACCTCTGAATTCAGGACTGCCCAGAAGTCTGCCCCTATCTGTGACTCCTCCCGGGAAGGACAGACAGCCAACTGACAGGATCAGTTGTGGCCCAACCGTGCAAATGACTGTCTACAGGTGTGCCTGGCATCTGAGAGCCTAGGAAGGGACACAGAGTCCAGGCTGACAACAGCAATAGTCAAGAGACTACATTAGGTGGGCACCTCGCCCAGCTCCCCCTCCCCCATTTACATTTATCACTTTATTCAATACCCAGTGTTCTTTGTTCCTGTCCTGTCTTTTTTTTCCTCTCTCTCTTTCTTTCCCACTTTTATTTTGATACACTTTCTCAAAGAACACAGGCTGGCCTGTTTGTGGGGTCCCTGAATCTCCTGAGAGTGCAGACTATTTAAGGTTATGTGACTACATTTCTTTACCTCTCTCTTTTCATTCCATCTTTAGCCTAAACAGCATCCTCTTCCCTCTTGTACCCACTGCTCACTCATTCTATTTACTTTTTCCCCCTCTATTTTTTTTAGTCAACCCAGCACTAATCATAACTACCAGTTGTGGACTGCTGTCCTCTAAGCATGGTGTGGCTGGTGGTCTCTAAACTCACGTCAGCAGAGTTCATTTGCAGAAGACCTGTACAAGGTCGGGTCCACAGGTGTTCTCCAATGGAGGGTGCAGAGGCTCCTGAGGCCTGCCCCTCCCTGAGGATAGGCAGTTAATGGTTGGAAAGCATGGAAAGGCTCAAGTCTAGTCCTCTCTGAAGACAGACAGGCAGTGAACACTTGCTGAGAGGGAGAGAGATTTTCCTCAAGATGCAGTCTTTTATAAGTTGCCCGTGCTCCTGTTCAAACCCCTCACTCATGTTCCCATAAATGTATTGGTTATCATGCTAGACTTGTATACAGTTGTTTTGTGTCATTGGTGGTGGTGGTGGTGGTGGTGGTGGTGGTCTACTGTTGGTACCCTATCCGGCATAAACAGACATCTATTCATGCTCCCAGAAAAGTTCACACAATACTTGTTGCCCAAACCTTCGGCACAACGGAACTAAAGATGACATTGTGAGGAGCATTTGCACTGTCTTTGAAGCTGGCTCTTTGAGGGTGGAGACTCCACCTGGACAACCCTTCCAAATGTGGCACAGGATGGCATGTCTTCCAGTATATATGCTGTGG